TAGTGTTGATACTGCAAGGAGTATTTTGTGAAAAGAAATTGAAGATGTTGTTTAATTGTTGATATATTTATGATCCACGTCAAGTATTCAGTTTCGGCGGCATTTCTTCAGTTTTTGCAAAGGTCTTCTCATCAGGGCTCTATAAATAAAGAACTACGGCAGATCTGTAATATGTAATGCAGCCGAACCGTGTATTACAATGCCGTTATGTGATGACTTTCAAAGAGAAAAGCAAGAGCACTCGGAATTAAGTATTCTTTTATTCTTTTAAAATGTTTTCCGGATTTCATATAATATAAACACCAAATCCCAGCATGCATTGCGGCTAAAACATCCAATCAGCGTAGCTGAGGATCCTGGGTAATCGCTCGAAATGCCTACATCTGTTTCCGGTTATTTTTATTTTTAAATTCAGTTCCTGACGAACGCCAAAAAAGCCCAAGATCATGGAATTAAACCAATAAATAAAAGCAAGGATAATTGTGTGTTATTGGTGAGTAAATAACAGTGTGCTATTTTGAAAAGAATAACAAATTAGAAGGAAAAAAATATTTTAAAAATACGAGGCTCTGAGCCCCATTTATTTTCCTCACAGACGGCAACACTAAAGGTCTAAAATAAAGATCGAAATGAATATTTGGGATGTTCTTGCCTTTAGATTCTCCCAATAAGTCCAAGTACAGAGGGTGACTTTGCTGTGAAAAAAAAATAGGGCTGTCAGTCGATTAAAATAGTTAATCGCGATTAATCGCAAATTAATCGCACATTTTTTATTTGTTCTAAATGTACCTTAGAGGAATATTTGTCAAGTTTTTAATACTCTTATCAACATATGAGTGGACAAATATGCTTTATGCAAATGTTTATTATCATTTGAACAATGACAAATATTCTCATGAATATTAAACACAACAACCTCTGAACATTACAAATATTCGCCTCAATTCAACCTGGAACCTCTCTCATACAATAATACAATACAAATGGTGTGTGTGTGTGTGTGTGTGAGTGTGTGAGTGTGTGTGTGTGTGTGTGTGTGTGTGTGTGTGTGTGTGTGTGTGTGTGTGTGTGTGTGTGTGTGTGTGTGTGTGTGTGTGTGTGTGTGTGTGTGTGTGTGTGTGTGTGTGTGTGTGTGTGTGTGTGTGTGTGTGTGTGTGTGTGTGTGTGTGTGTGTGTGTGTGTGTGTGTGTGTGTGTGTGAGTGATGGATCGTTGGAGCTATGTGCAACTCAAGGCATATGCTCGAACGGGAGCTTCCTGGACGCTACAATCATGTTGCGCACTATCCGTGCTGAGTGTGCTGACTTCTCGTACAATGTCCCACTGTCTGGCTTCCTGCATAAAGTCAAATGCTCGGCGCAGTTGTGGCGAAATGTCGCTCCTCTGTTTTCATTTAAACAGCTCCTTATATCCGTTAGTGCAGCTAGCTAGCACCAGATGCTAACAACAACAATGCACGTAAGGTCTCTCTCTCGCTCGCTCGGGCCACACATACACACACCCTCCCGGTGCCTGCCGGTGAGCGTGGAAGTGTGGTCTGCCACAAGCGGGCAGCAGGAGCGGTGCTGTCAGCATCAGCTTGTAGATGGTATTTTAAACTCGATGCGCTCTGAAACTACGGGGCGGCCGAGGACAAAAAATACACATGCGTTAATCGTGTTAAAATAATTAGTGGCGTTAATTTTCTTTTGCGTTAACGCGTTATTAACGCGTTAACTTGACAGCCCTAGAAAAAACACATTTCCACCAAAAAAAACGTTAGCAACCATGAATGTGTATACATTCATGAAGTAATCTTCGTCATAACTAGCAAACTAAACATCATGTACATGTACTGCACAAATAATCAGAAATAAAAACTCATTACTCGCATAAAATGACATCAAAACGCATTTTATTGGCCAAATGAACCTTAAAATAGGCCTTCTCCATCGAGAATAACACGAAGGTCGGCCATTGTTGTTGATCACGTGGTCTATGAAGGTCTATGGGACGCCCTGCCCGTAGAAGCCTGACGGTCAAGGGGTCCATAGTCCACAATGAAGGTCTATGGGACGCCCTGCCCGTAGAAGCCTGACGGGCAAGGGGTACCCTGTACGTAATATAGCGATGGGGAGGGGCCCTGACCGTCCGTCAATATGTGACGGGATGGGAGTGAGAACGTGTTGCAATAAAAGGCACATGCATGCACTGCACATGAAGAAGTTATAAGGCATTATATAACCTTCACACCTATATGTCCTACAAATACCACCAACATTCTTTCCAGAGGATGAGCTACTTGTCTAAAAATGCAGCCCTGGCCAAATGAGGTTGTTACACTGTCTCTGTCTCCCAGGGCCCTGTTACTGCACACAGCATTAGTAAAAACAAAATGAATATGCAAACAATAAAAAGTGTGAGGCAGCTGGCACACAGGTTTTAATGCAATCGTATTAAGATTTTATGGCTATGACTTTTTGTATTGTGTTCTAGCACTATAACAAGTTTACAAGGATGGTTGGAGCTGGTAAGGAGTCTCACAGTTTCACTTTGAGTTCACAATGGAAAGGGAGAATGGAGACATACGTTAGACTGGTGCATGCCTGTGGCAGTGGGATGAGTTAAAGCAGTGGTTCCCAACCTTTTTTCCCAAGAGCCCCCCCAAATGACTCCTGTTGGAAGTTGCACCCCCCCCCCCCCCCCCCCCCCCACACACACATGCACACACAAGGGGGGGGGGGGCAGCGGTAATTCAAGTTTCAAAGTCTCAAAATGCTACAACTACTGTCACAAACTGGATGAATGTGAAGTATTTTGTTAAAGGAGGATGAAAGCATAATTAAGGAGCACTATTGGAGTGACTTTGTTGGTTATTGGACTCAGGATTAATTCATTTGGATTAAATGAATAAAAAATAAAAAAGTCTAAATATGATATTTGGCCTCAAATCATCTGAGGCCTGGCGCACCCCCTGCGGTTTAACCACTGAGTTAAAGGATATAATGTTGAACAGTAAACCTTTATGTGAAGTTTTACATTTCCACTGTGGAAATGTAAAACACATTTTGGTCCTCATTGTCACTGATCACTTTCTTTGGGTTTATGTAAAGGGCATCCCGTCTTGAATCTTCTTTACTGCTTCTGCTAATGTTGTCTGAATGTTTCTCTCCAATCCAAGGCCACAAGATCAGTTTGGGGGACCTAATGTGCACACACCATTTAACAGCAGCAATTAGATTGTAAGGTATCTTTGATCATGATTTGACCAAAAAAAATCCTAAATGCCTGAAATCCAAAGATTTCATGTTTTGAGATGATTTCAAAAGGGGCCTGGTATTTTAATATTTCACAAACCTGAGTTTAAATATTGTTGCAGTGGTGGCACTAGATGAGAGATCTAGGAATTAGCATTTGTGCATTTGGTGACATTGAACATGTTGACCTGTCTGGTGTAGGACGGAGACAGACCCTGCTGAGGCACTAGCACTCCATTATTCCATCTGAGCTCAAATGATAGCTGTGATTTGTTCAGTTTACTTTTCTTTGGTGGCTTACATGGTCAGTGTTGTCCTGCAGCTAGCCTTGCGATGATCTCTAAGGCCAGCTAGGACTCGATAAAACATGGGTTGTGTTTTTTGCATCATCCTGGCTTATAGGTAGATTGAAATCCTTTTAAGTTCTCTAAAGAAATATTTGATATGTTCTTTGGAACTTCCTGAAAGTAAAGAGAAGCAAAGATTAAATGGGTTTTATAATGTTTGGGAAATACAGACACTGTGAAAACTGGGGAGGTGTGTCTTATTATTACACTATAATAGAAAGGTTTTAAAAATGACCACATTTTTGGTGAGATCATTTATTTTCAATTTAGTGTTTTATTTGGTAGGGGGGGATTGAAATACAGCACTGCTTTATAGAAAAAGGCATAGCTATTGAGCTACACTTAATCAAACAGTGTTTGAAAGTGCAGTAAAATTCATGCTTTGGCAGACTAGGGCGCTTAATACCCGCTTGGCCAACTCCGAAACATATTATTCATTAGGCAAAAACAGAAATCTGCCAAGGTCAGCAGTAATGCTGCTCTATTTTTTCTTCTTCTTCTGGGCCTTTTTGCCATGTTAGACTTCAAGATTAATTAAGTAATGAGAGAAAACAACAACTATAAAACCAATGTCCAAGTTCTCCATCCAACGGAAAATGTCTGTTCTTTCCAACCAGTGTGTGTTCCAACTCCACAGCACAGTTTAGTATACAGCCGCGTACCTGCTCTGAAACCACACACACACTCATGCACGCACGCACACACAAACGCATGCACAAACTCAGGCACACACGCACACAACACACACACACAGGCCAGGTTTGTGTATTAGTTATTCCTGACCAATACCTTCCTGACATAACTATTACATGTCACAGATTTACGTAATAGCAGGATGAACTGTGTTGAGGTCAGGGTCAAAG